GCATCTGCCAGCTGTTTCTCGGAAGGGAGTTTTATTCGAGCATAATTATTGACTCGAGCCCTCGGGGCAAAGCTGAACGAGCCTCAAGCACCGTAGCTTGGATGGATGGAAGAAAATCGGCATGCCTTCTCGAGACCCGCCCTACCAACGAATTTGGGCGTCAGAAACACAAAAAAGTGGTGCAGGAGGGCAGCAAAACGGGTCTTTGTAAGTGAGTGCGAGATGGGCGCTTGTATGATGGCCACCGGTGCGTGATGAGAATTACGTCAAGATAAAAGAGGGCGTGCTTTGAAAAATGGGCAGCAATGGGCGCAACAGTGAGAGGAATATACAAGTTAGTATTTGGGTACGAGCGTTGGCACATCCCCTGTTGACAGGGCCACTGTCCATTACGTGCTGCGAAGAGGGGGAGGGAAGATAAGGTCTTGAAAGGGAGGCGGGGGAAGTAGCGGCGGCGAGGGCGACGCCACCTGGGTAGGAGCGGGGCGAACGCGGGTGGGTCGGGCGATGACTTGGAGGCGATGCATCGGAGGTGATGGGATCTTGTTGATGTTGACATGACATCATCTGCAAGATCAACGCTTGTTGACAGGTGTCATCAGGGGCCACGGCGCGCCGTGGTGACGTGGAGCATGATCTCAATACTTAATTACATTATCCTTTTCGTAATTTGTCATGTGTAATTATATGGGGACCATACTATTTCATGACGTCCCAGCTCATTTCTCCTTCCAGCGCGGCGCATTGTCACAGCATCATTCTTTTCCCCCGCCATCGATCGCGAAGCTTCCTCCCGTCACCCCCCATCGCCCATCGACCAATCTTCCCCCTCCTAACCCTCCCCCGCCCACCGGCACGCCCCTCCGCACCATGAGCAGCGCCGAAGACGGTGTGTACACCGTCAAGGTCAAGTGGACCAAGCAGGTCTTCGACCCGGTGACCATCGACACCACGGAGCCGCCCGAGCTCTTCAAGTCGCAACTCTGGACGCTAACCGGCGTCCCTCCCGCGCGCCAAACCATCCTCGGTCTCAAGGGCGGCAAGCTGCGCGACGACTCCGACTGGGCGAAAGCCGGTCTGAAGAACGGCATGACGCTCATGCTCATGGGCACCCCAGACGCGTCGCTGCCGCCGCCGCCCACGAAGGCCGAGCTGAACAACGTGCGCGACGATCTCGACGCGGACGCCATGGCGCTGGAGCCTCCCCCGCCCGTCGGGCCACCGGGCCTGGCCAATCTGGGCAACACATGCTACATGAACTCCACCGTGCAGTGCCTCACGGCCGTCACCCCGCTCGTCGCCGCGCTGCGCAGGTTCCGCGCGCCCGCCACGGAGTCGGACCCCAGCGGGAAGCTTTCGGCTAGCTTGAGGGATGTCGTCGCTTCTCTGCAGGCCCGCGCGACGCAGGCGGTAAACCCGTACGTCTTCTTGTCGTCGCTTCGTCAGGTCGACCCACAGTTTGCGGAAACAGGACAGGATGGACGGTACGTGCAGCAGGACGCAGAGGAGTGTTGGAGTACCATTCTCACCAGGCTTGCTGCTAAGTTGTTGGTCGAGCCCGGCCGCCCGGAGATTGGTAACGTTGTCGATCGCATGTTTGCCATTCAGACGAAGGCCACGGATACGTGCGGGGAGGGGGAGGATGCTGAAGTTGTAGAGCGCAACGATACTGTCAGGATTCTCAAATGTCATATTTCGAGCACGGTCAACCATCTCGTTCAGGGCGTCAAGGAAGGATTGGAGGAGACCATTGAGAAGCACTCGGCCAGGCTGGATAAGACGGCGGAGTGGAAGAGGACTACTAGATTTGATAACATTCCCCCGTTTCTGATTGTGCAGTTTGTTAGGTTCTTTTGGAAGTCTGCCGAGAATGTCAAGGCCAAGATTCTAAGAAACGTTTCTTTTCCGACGCAGCTGGACGTGTTTGACTTTTGTACGGATGAGCTAAAGGAGAAGTTGACCGTAAAGAGAAATGAGGCTATGGCGGCCGCGAAGGAGGCTATCGCGAAGAAGGAACAAGACGCTGGAGCGAATTCATCTTCTGACGCCGGAGCAGCGAGCAGTGCAGCTGCGGAAGATGAGGACATCAAGGCAGAAATTGGAAACTACGAACTGAGCGCAGTTTTGACACATCGCGGGCGGGCAGCCGATGCTGGTCACTATGTCGCCTGGGTCAAGGAGGATGGCCCGAGCGGTATGTGGTACAAGTTTGATGATGACATTGTCACAAAGCATACCGAGGAAGAAGTGAAAAAACTGTCAGGGGGTGGCGATTGGCACATGGCCTACATTTGCCTGTATCGGGCAAAGAACACTTTCTAACCCTCGTTGGAGTTGGAGGGCTGCAAACAGATAAGCTTACCAGAAGCCGTCTGGCATTGCTTCAGTCTGCAGTTGCCCAAATCAACTGCGTATCTTTTTGGCTATTAACTCATTGACGCGGCGCAATTGACTAGCTGGGGATCTGTATGGCGGTACGCGTCTAAGGTTGTAGGTTGCCGTTGTAAAGTTAAGAGAACTCAGTATGTAAATGATATACAAAGGGGCACACGGGTGTGTCGGAAACCCTTGGTTGTCTCAGGTTTTGCTTGTTCTGCGAGCACGGTACGCTACGAAGCGGGTAACCGGGCGTCCGTCAGAGATTGTCTCTTCGCTCTCGCGCAGAACTTGGAAGCCTCTTTGCTCTGAGAAAACGTTCCTCAGTTCGCCTGGCGTCAACATCTGACTGTCCTTTTTCGGCCCTCCAAACTTTTCACATCCCTTTAAAAAGTGTTCATAAATGGCAAAGCCACCTTCCGCCACTGCCTCATGTAACAACTCCAACACCCCTCTCCTCAGAAACCGCACCACGAGAAGCAATTTAGATCTGTTTTTCCTAAGCCATTCCCTGTCCTCACTGAGATGAGCGCCAAGCGTGCGCACAACCGTGCACACACTACCCCCTTCCTTAGCCTCGCGGTTTCCAAACCGCTCAGCCATTGCCAGCAACGCCCGGTCACGGTCAACGGCAGTGACTCTGAACCCTGCCGCCGCCAAATACGCGCTATCACGACCGGAGCCGGACCCCACGTCCAGGGCAGTCCGCACGTCTCCGATACTTGCGAGCACGCGCGGAAGCTCTTCCACAAGCACTGGGGCCGGCGACCACAATGCGCGACTCTTTCTTCCAGTTGCAGACGGTAGGGTGCGGAGGAGAGACTCTTCGAGCGAAACAGGGCACTGATGGCCGCGCGCCTCGAGCCCCGCCGCCGCTTGACAGGCCTGCTCTGGTGACGAGGCCAGCACTCCTATTCGCTCCTTTTTCGAGGGCGGCGGTAGCTCGTTCAGACGCGAGAGAAGACCATCCGGCCCGTCGACGCCGTCAAAGTGCGTGGCGTTCACGACGTGCCAAGCGGAGAAGGCGTCTGCCGGGCGGAGGTCAAGAAGAGGGAGAGCGTTGCAGTTTGAGGCGTCACGGAACTCGGACACCCATTCCATGGATGTGGCTTAGGACAGGCTTTCCCTGGATCTGCCTGGTTGTATAGTGATCGGAGAACAGCGAATACTCTGCAGTTAGCGCGTTGGAAATTGCTGGGGTGTGTGGGGTTGGGGATGATGGAAGAAAGTGGAGCCGTAGTTGCCTGCAAATGGAAATTTGGGCAGATACAGTGCGTTCCATAATTATAGCTGTTTCGACAATAATGTAACAGTATGGAGAAGTTAGAAAAGAATCATCCTGGACTTAGGGACGGGCCGTTCCTAACTCGCAGTCCATCACAAATTTTTCAGCATCCTCTTCATTGAGCTAGTCCGAATTTTTCATATCGGTTTGTTTCGTAAGTATAGCCTTCACACACTCTTTGCTTGAAGAAAATAAAATATCCCTGTATACAGAAACCAGCAAAACATGGTGTTGATATTTATCTTCAACACGCCAAAACCCGAAAACCATTCACCAACTACATCAAACAAACAAACTCAACCAAAAATGTCTAGAGGCACCAGGCTATCCTTTGTGGAGCACGGAAAATTTCTATCTTTTAAAGAAGAAGAAGTGATTCCGATAAATTGATCCGGTAAAGTTGTCGCAAACTTTGAAGGGACCCTGCATCTTGTGGGAGTAAGAAGAGTTGTGATATGCCAAGCAAGTTGTCGCCAAGGGACAGAGGGGGATTAAAATGAAATTGGTAAAAAGCCCCAGAGTTGTCCGTCGGTGATAAGTAACCTCGACCTACAGGTTTCTCGCCAAATTATATGGCGCAAAGTAAAGAAACAAGGGACTTGAAGAGCGGGCCCCGGTCCCCCTTACCACTGACACGCATATAAGTGCTCGTGTTAATTGGGCGGCCAATCATGCTCCATGGAGTGAAGAATCTACACTATTTTCGATCTCGGATGAGCACAACTAAAAAGGCTATCACCATTTCCGCCTACACCCCTCAGTCCGCAACTGAGAGACCTAACAAGGAAGTTGCTGTTATTGCGAATGCGTTTCATCTTCGCTCAAGTGTTTTGGGAGAAGAGCATCACAGGATTGTTATGTCAAAGCTAAATCGAACCACGTGGCCAACATATTCTTCATTGTACCCACAATCGGTGGCCTCATTATTCGCACCCTCACCATTGCGCCGACAAACCCTCGTCGCGTTCTCCACATCCTTCCTTCCCCGCCGCTCCCCCCTCTCGCGCCCTTCCCGCTCGCGGTGCCCCGCGACCCCTCCCCAGATGTCGGCACCCTCGCGCAACCGCCCCTCGCAAGTCGTGCTGGCCGCCGACATGACGAAATGGGCTGCGTGCGTGGCGGTCGGCGCCGCGCTTTTGTACCGCCGCGACGCGCTAGTGGTGCTCTTTTGCACGGGCGCCGGCCTGAACTCGGCGGTCGCCAAGCTGCTCAAGCAGCTCATCCGCCAGCCGCGGCCGACGGACAGCAAGGCCGACCCGGGCATGCCCTCGTCGCACGCTACGTCACTGTCGTTTCTTTCTCTCGCGCTGCTGGCGTGCGTCCTCAAAGACCCCCTTCTCGCCGCAGCGCCCCGCGCGGTCTACGTCGGCGGCGGCGCGCTCGTCGTCGCGCTCGCCTTGGTCGCTACGTCGTGGAGGGTCAAGGCGGGGTACCACACCGTCGGCCAGGTCGTCGCCGGGTGGGTGCTCGGCGCAGTGAATGCCGTTGTGTGGGTGAAAATGTTTCTGCCGTGGGCGACGCCGTTTGTTGATGCCGTGCTCCGGGACTCGCGTGTCGGCCTCCCGCTCATTGCCGCCATTGTAGTGGTAAGTTAAGGCGCTGGAGCGCTTCTTGAGAATGTTATTGCGCAGCCGGGTCGCTTCATTTGTCTAACCCTCGGTGTCCTCGCATGTTGTTCCTGCTATGGTGACGTCGACGTTTTTTTCATTGGCAAATTTTTGGCGTACAGATTGGCTCGGTCGTGTTTCTGGGCCCAGACATCAAAAACCTTTTGAAGGCCGCACAGGGTCGCTAAACTTTAGCGATACGACGTGCTTTGCCCAGCGCTTTTCTTGGCTAAGGCAAACGCAAGCTGCAACTGCCTTTCCTTCTTTTCAACCATTAGACGCGAGTCTCTTCTCTCCCCAGATTTCTGTTGACAGGGGCAGATCCCGCCGATAACACATCCAATTCGCCCGGCTGCTGTGTGCGAAGCCCTACAACCGAACATGCCTCAGGAAAAGCGTTTGACACCCGAGTTGGCGCCCGGAGAGCTCGGCTCTGCCGAGCAGTTCGCCAAATTCCTCACACCTTACAAGGCTGTTATTACGCCCCTCCCGTTTCTTTGCTTTGTCCTCGAATCTCTCGTGGCTGCAGGTTGCTTTTACTTTCACCGTGACACAGATGCAATGCTAAAATTCATGTTTGGCCAACTTCTCGCCATTAATACAACCATGGCTGGCTTGCTGCATTTCTTTCCTCCTATGTACCAATTCTACACCTCGATGATTTTCCTCCCACTGAAGGATTTCTGGCTCTACTCCACAGGAGCCGCCCTCATTGCAGGCGGTGTTGGCATCACGTTTACCAAAACTCAAGTCTACGCAGCTTGGTGCCTTGTCGCCATCCTCATTCTCATGTTCCCTGGAAATGTTGCTTGCGTTTTCATGGAACACCCCAGAAAGATCGTGTCTGGAGGCTCAAAGACTGCTGCTATCGCCCGTCTACCGTTTCAAATCCCATTCGTTCTCTGGGCATTTTGGTTCACCTCGCCACCATTACCAATGCCAATGTAGGCTCGGACTCACTCGTGTTTTTTGATAATATCCGCAAATACATCTGGATCGATGTTGCTTCCACATGCTACCACCACAGCGGTCTCCACATTTTTTCCCTGCCGCCATCGCTCATCAACTTGGAAGCCGGCGATAGCAACTGCTGCTGCGCCTTCGACGACTTTGCGATGGTTTGTAAAAGCACCAGCAATAGCTTTCTCGATATCCGCCTCGCTGATCAGAGCCCATGCGTCCACAAGCCCGCAGCAGTATTCCAACGTAATTGACCCGGGTTCAATGTCTCCTGCACTTCCATCGGAAAGTGTTGGCAGGCATTTGCTTGGTATCACTTGCTGGGCTGCAGCGCAGTCGTACATCACCGGTGAGTTTTGCGGCAAGCACCCGACAACCCGCCAGACCCCTGGTTCACGAAGCTTGAGGCAAGCTGCCACCCCAGAAATTAAACCTCCGCCCCCGACGGTTACATAGCAACACTTGCGATGGAATGAATTCCCAAATGGCACGCCTAGTTTCGAAAGTGTTTCAAGGATTTCCACCCCGACGGTCCCTTGTCCCGCAATCACACATTCGTCATTATAAGGAGAGATGTAAACTAACGAGTGTTCCACTGCATACTGTGAAGCCTTCCTTTCAGCGTCTAAACAGTCTTTTCCGGCAAACTGAATGACTGCTTTTGTGTTCTTCACGCTTGCTCGAAGAGCTTTGACTTTCCCTGACGTGGTATTTTCCGGGAGGAACACGATGCCCGCTACATCGCTTAGCGTCACGGCATGAACGACAGCGAGTGCGTGATTTCCAGTGGAAGCTGTTACAACTCCTTTCGCTCCTTCACAAATGGCGACATGAGTTCGATATAAGGCCCCTCTCACTTTGAAAGAGTTGGTGACCTGCTCTGTTTCGAGCTTGATAAAGACGTGGAGCTTATCTTTTGACAGCCATCGTGAGAAAAGGAGAGGGGTCCATAGCACAGAGTCCGGAAGCCGAGATCGATACTCTTCAAAGAAGTCATGTGCGTTTGTGATCTTATCATTAAGCCGGTTTTCATTGTCTATTTGGCAAAGGAGAACGGACCGCTTTAGGTGCGGTTCTGGTAAATGGTGAACTTGTGAGGGAACTTCCATTCCGTCCCTTTTCGAAAGCGGATCTTAGGGCCTGGCGTGATCCGGATTGCTATTATGCCCAATATTGACAACTCGTCTACGTATGTACCGTACTGATCAAGCATGACCACATTGTAGCCTGCCATGCAAAAAAAAAAAATCCAATTTTCTGCTCCATCGCACATATTGCGAAGAATCAACCTTGTACTGTGCGGATGCTGCTCCGCCCCGAAGGCTCGCAGTTGATGCGATTCAAACTATTTCCTCAGGTCAAAAACGCCTCTAGCTCGGGAAGTACCCCTGCACTCCATGTCAAGGGGTTCTTTTTCGCACAATTTCGGGAACAAGGTGACCTTCGAGATACAATAGCGCAACTTCGCAAGTCTTGATTACTCCGCAATGACACCTTAGAAGTCGCAGAGATGGTGTTGGTGGACATTGATGGGCTGCAAGTGGTGTTTCCCTATGAGACGCTTTATCCAGAGCAGCTCAGTTACATGAGGGAGCTGAAGAAGGCGTTAGAATCAGGGGGTCATGCGTTGTTGGAAATGCCCAGTGGAACTGGAAAGACTATTACTCTCTTATCGCTAATTACGGCATATCTGTCGAGCCGTGGGTCAGATAGAAGCGTTCGAAAATTTGTCTACTGCACACGAACGGTTGAAGAAATGCATAAAGTAATGGAAGAGATGAAGATATTAGTGGCTAGCCGGGAGAAGGAGCTAAAAGTACAAAACGATCTCGTGACTGTTGGTCTTGCGTCAAGAAAGCACCTGTGCATCCACGAAACAGTCAGCCAAATGGAAGGGTCTGCAGTCGACAGTGGCTGCAGAGCGTTAACTGCTTCGTGGGTACGTGAACAGATTCAGGAAAGACAGGAGGATGTCGAGGCGGCTCTGCCGCCACATTGTAAGTACTTTGAGAATTACGACAGAGAAGGGGTAGATGCGATTCTCTTACCTGGCGTTTACAATCTCTCAGACCTTCGGGCCTACGGCAGACGTCGCCAGTGGTGCCCGTACTTTCTTGCACGACACTCAATCACGGTAGCAAATATCTTGGTTTATTCATATCATTATCTCCTTGACCCAAAGGTTGCTGGTGTTGTATCAGCTGAGTTACCTCCTGAAAGCATTATCGTATTTGGTAAGGTGGTTGTTTTCATGTTCAGGAAGCTGTGTGTTTTGTACTGCTGCTCTAACAAATCATGATTGACTCACAATTCTTTCTTTTTGTAATGATCTCTCGAAGATGAAGCCCATAACATCGATAACGTTTGCATTGAGGCATTGAGTGTAGATCTAGAAGAGCCGACCCTTCGAGCGGCATCCCAAAATGTGACCCAACTGAGGTCTGCAATATCTGGGGCGAAGCAAGCTGCAAGAGAAAGGTTGAGGCAAGAATACACTCGGATACTCTCCGGGTTGCCACTTGCCCAATCTAACGCGCAACATGCTCGAGGAAACGCCTCTGAAGGGCACTTATTCGTCGGTGGGGAAGAAATAGCGCTCGCGCCAGTTTTACCGAATGACGTGCTGCGGGAAGCCGTGCCTGAATCTATCAGAAAGGCAGAGGCATTTATAGAGTTTCTCACCAAGCTGGTTTCTTTTCTTCAAAGGCGAGCGGCAACAGAGACTGTATCTCAGGAGAAGCCGACACCTTTTCTCGTTGAAGCTGCGAATGCTTGCTCCGTCGTTGATAAAAGGGTATTTCAAGGCACATACGACCGCTTGATATCGCTTCTTCTCACTGTGCAGGTTTCAAGTTGGTCTGATTTCAGACCGTTGTCGAGGGTTGGAGACTTCATCACCATACTGTCTACTTACGAGAGGGAGGGAATGGCTGTGATCACGGAGCCCTTCAATGACTTCACTGGGGAATATGAGCCCGTTTTGCGTCTAGCATGCCTAGATGCGTCATTGGCGATACGGTGGATTGTAGAGAGGTTTCGAACGGTTGTAATCACGTCTGGGACGCTCAGTCCTCTCGACACATACCCGAAGATGCTCAATTTTCCAGTTGTCGTATCTTCGAGTTTTAACATGTCCATGGATCGGAGATGTGTTTGCCCTTTAGTTATGACGAGGGGTTCGGATCAAATGGCTTTGAGCTCGAAATATAATGACCGGCAAACGTCTGACGTTCCGCGAAATTATGGACATGCACTGGTGTCCCTTGCGGGGTGTACTCCGGACGGGATTGTGGTGTTTTTCGTGAGTTATGTTTTTATGCAACAAGTGGTCAAGGTGTGGACGGAAGAGAGTAACATATTGAATGATTTACGAAAACTCAAGCTCGTGTTTGTCGAAACTCAAGATCCAATCGAAGCATCGCTCGCAATCAAAAATTATCGAGCTGCTTGCGACAGTGGCCGGGGGGCAATCCTCCTCAGTGTAGCGAGGGGTCGTGCAGCTGAAGGAATCGACTTTGACGGGCAATATGGACGAGCCGTGATATTGTTTGGAGTTCCTTTCCAATACACGGAATCCCGCGTCCTCAAGGCCCGTTTGCAGTTTCTGGCGGAATATCTCCAGATTCAAGAGGATGATTTTCTTGTCTTCGATGTAAGTTTTTTTTTTTTTTTTTCTAGGCTTGGCCTCATTTATTGGTGGGCACCGTACTAACGAAGGAATGCTTTGGACGTGAATGTTTTGGACGTGATTGCATGAAAATGATCTGGTCCGTTGCTCCACTCGAAGGCCATGCGACAAGCGGCGCAATGCGCGGGCCGTGTAATCCGCAACAAGAACGACTACGGAATTGTAATCTTCGCGGACAGGCGGTTCTCGCGGGCCAAGCTGCGGAGCAAATTGCCCAAATGGCTCGCACAGTTTTTGACGACCGAGACGCTCGATCTAGATATCGGATCGACGATGGCAGAGGCGCGTGCTTTCTTGCTCGATATGGCGCAGCCGACTCCGGCAAAAGAACGGGTTGAACCCCCTGCGCTGCCAGAGCTCGAGCCCATTGGAAGGCCAGGCCACGGAGCAGCGACGTGAACTCTGCTCTGCTCGCCTCGCGCGCGCCTCGCAGTTGTGACAAGTAACCAACGTGCCTCGCGTCACCCAAGGTCGAAAGGAAGAGACTCGGTCTTTCAGGGGTCTTTCAGAGAAGTGCCACCCTGACGTGAATGGAATTGCAGCGACAAGATGTTACGTGCGCACGTGATCAGAGATATTGGCAGTACTGTACTGTACAGGTACAGGTACCGTTGAAGGGTACTGTAACCGCCAAGCACATGGGTGTGACAAATGACAAGGGAACAAGTGAATTTGAGTTTGTGCGTGATTTTCTTTAATGCAGATTTCCCCGCGTCTGCGCAGGACTCCTCCGTGGCAACATGTCGTTCGATTGTCATGTCAACTTGTGCCTTGTCTACAATACGGTATGCAGACAAGAGATCTCTCTCCAAGTAGCGCCGTAATCAGCTGTGCGTGCCGCTAATTCACTGGGCACCAGCGGTCCGACTGCGCCTGTCGGAAGCGGTCAGTCGAGACAGACGTTATGCTACGTTGCAACGAGACAATCGGCAAACGCAGTCCCGGCAAACGCAGTCCCGGCACACGCAGTCCAGGCAGACGCAGTCCAGGAAACGACAGACGCGGCGCAGAGCCCGACCGATTCGAGCGAGGTTGGCACAAAAACTACCCCTCCCCGCTCCGACGGCCCGTGGCAAAACGCAGACTTGGACAACATCGTAGCACAGAGATGGAGAAAAATAAAGAAAATAAATGATTCACTCAAGATGCTGAGGAAAAAACGCAAACGTGCCGGTCGCATCCTTTGCTTACACGCATCTATCAGCGAGCCCTATAGCAAAGAGGCCTAATGGGGAATGACATGAAGCGAGCCTACGACAACCTTATTTTCGATGACCGACCCTGCCGGGATCATGATCTTGTTGCCTGGGTTGGCAACAACAATGACGGTGCCCTTGAGCGTAGTATTCGCGCCAAACGATACGTCGCCGGAGACAGTGAGATGGTCAAGCTCCAACACATCGGGGATGCTGCCGAACCGTTCAAGATATTGAGCAACCTTCTTGAACTCAGTTCCTAGCTTGATGACAGGGGTGGTACCAAACTGGCGGGCGGGGTTCATGACGAGAGAACCGGATTTGAGGTTGTACATGTTGCTCTGGATGAGCAGGAGATCCGAGGTGGCCTTGACCGGAAGAAAGCGGCTACGCGGGACGTTGACACCACAGGCATTGTTAAAGTAGGTGATGGCGGCACCGATGGCGGTCTCCAGCTGGATGACCTTTTGGCCTGCGACCTCCTTGTTGTTGACGATAATGTCCAGCTTCATCTCGTTGGCCTGCATGATACGCTTGACGGCACGAAGCGAGACCCAGATGTTGTTGGTATTGAAGACCTTAAACTTGGACACCGACTTGAACTCTTCAATGTACTGCGGCGGGACCTGGGCGACTTCGAGCAGCGAGACCTTGCCATCGTACGAGATGATGGTACCTCCCTTGATATCAGAGCGGGTCTTATCCGTGAGCTCCATGCAGTACTCGACGTCGCGATCGACAATGTTCTTGAGGATGTTGAGATCGACGGTGGCGCCCAGGTTGTCGACATTGGAGACGAAGAGATACTCCTTGCCCTGTGCGAGCAGGGACTCGACGAGGTCTGAATTGTAAAGGGCCTCGAAGAAATCGCCGTGGCCGGGGGGATACCAGTCCTGATGGGCGTAGCCTTCGTGGGTGACGGGCATGGGTTCGAGCGACTCCTTGATGATGCGCGGGTAGCGCGACTGCTGGAAGGTGGTGATGGTGACGTGGGTGTCCTGATACTTTTGGATGATCTTTGCGGTTTCGGCGTCGGTGTTGAACGAGTTCATGAGCAGGAGCTGGACGTTGGCGCCGGGATAGGTGATGTTCAAATGCTCGATCTGTTGGACGATGAGATCGAGGAAGGTGGTGTCGCCGCGGACCTCGATGACGCTCTTGGGGCCCTTGCAGCCCATGGAGGTACCCAGGCCGCCGTTGAGCTTGAGGACGGCGAGCTTGCTGAGCAAGGCAGCCTCCTCCGACTTTTCCGGCTTTGGGAGCGAGTCGTAGCGCTGGAGCATGTTGTCCGAAGGCTGCTGGATGAGGTCCCACTCAATCTGCTGCTTCTTGGAACGGCCGACCATGTAGCGATTGTAGAGCTGCAGAAAGCCCTTCATCTCCTTGTCGTTCATCTGCTCATTGCGATCCTCGACGGCGAGGTTCATCTTGCGGAGCTTGGTCTCGACGACTTCGACGGCCGACTTGTCCATAATGCCCTTGAAGTCCTGCAAGCTCCTCGACGCAGCACCTGCGCCGTTCGGGGCGGCAGCCTTCATCATGTTTAATGCAACGGGGGGGGGGGGGGGGGGGGGGGGGGGGGCTTTTTTTTTTTTTCGCATGAATGGATGGAAGAGGAATTTTGGCCTGAGGCGGACTATGTAGTGGAAAGCAATGTTTGAGATGTGGAGAGTCAAGCTGAGTGTTCTAAGCCACACAATGAATACCACTACAC